CCAAAACCGCCCCGCCTCTAAGTGTGGTTATTGCTAAGTTTGAGATACCGTTTTCGTTATCTTTCAAATCTCATTCCCGAGCTTCATTTCACTAAAAACGGCCCGTTTTCTAATCTTGCCGTTTCATATGCTTTAAATGATAACGCTCATTCAAACGGTCCGTATCTAACCCAGAATCCTTCAAATTCGAAGATAATGGGAATCCTATGTATCGGGTTCCTGACGTTCTTTTCATTTTTTGTCTTCACTGCATCCCCATCCAGTAGCTTTGCTTTTATATTTTATCAACACTGAGTTATCGCCTAGGTCGAAGACTTTTGCCTATGACCCAATATCTCTATCGTAGTAGCTACTTTCAAAAGCACTTGTAGCGATCAGGTTAGTGGGGTTTTCCGCTCGAAAATGAAACAAAGGGAGCGAAGAGGACCGTCAATGATGAAAAAAGCGAAAGGAATAATAGATACTGGAATAGAGGGCCTCCTTTTTTGTGAGGTCGACCTTGCTTCATACATGGACACCATCATACACCGTCGCTGCTTTCAAAGGCGGACTTCACAATGAAAAGCCAACCCATTTCAAATTAAGTTAGGGATGGTGAGTGGTACACGAAAGAAGGAACCATGAAAAACGGCCCAGAACCCGAGAAATGGGACCCCTTCCTTGCCCGTTGATTCCGCATTGATGCGACACTCATCGGTGCTGTCCTCTTCAACGCTAACGCTCTCCCTCTCTCTGCTGCAGGCTAGAGGCTTTTACAGTGAATGGGGGTGTTCTGCGCCGATGGTGTGCCATTAGCGCCATGCTAGATCGCCTGTAGGTATGCTTCCCCGAACAGGAGAGGGACCCCTCCCTGGTAAGGTATGCTCTCCCCGAAAACTCTCGGGAAAGGCCACGCCCACCGGTTCTCGGGATATCTCCCCGATTGACATGCAGTCGGGAGACATCCCCGAGAACCGGTGGCATTGCCTTCCCCGAGAGTTTTCGAGGAGAGCATACCTTACCAGGGAGGGGTCCCTTCCTGTTCGGGGAAACATACCTTACGACCCCTGGACACATACTTCGCTGCAAATTGCGTGTCGATCCACACCCTTAGGGGGGTCC